GGACAGAGTCTGCTTCTAGCTCAGCCTTCCTTATTTGCAAGTAATTAATTAACTCCTCCCATAAAATAGATCGGGCTAATGCAGGAACAAGGTGATCTTTACACAAAAGGGAAGAGCTAGTTCAGCCTTTGCCATCTTTGTGTCCTCTAAATGCTTAGAACTCTTTCATCCCCAGACAGCGTGGCTGTGCCAGTCGTGCTGATGGAAAGTTGGAGTTCAAAGGCTGAGCTACAGCTTCTTCCATCGTATTTGGCTAGAGCTGGGCTTCTCAAACCTGGGTCTCCATCTGTTTTGGGGCTACAATTCCCATCATCCCTGACCACTGGTTCTGCAATGATAGGAGTTGTAGTCTAAAAACAACTGGAGACCTAGGATTGGGGAACTCTGGGCTAGAGGATTTCTTTTCTTCAGTCATATGAGATGAAGCCCTGGATTGCCATTGGGCTGGACATTTCTGAAGTTCATTTCCAGTTGCAAGACATATCCCGGGGCTTGGAAAAGCTCAAATAGGTTTTTCTCCTTGCTGAAGGCTGCTCACAGTCACTATACACCTTCGATGGTTTCTCTGCTCATGACAGTCCTGCAAACAGCAGATCAAGACTCTTCATCACAGGCATAAGCCATCTTTCTCTGCCCTGTGTTTGTGAAGTTAGTGGTGACAAGAAAAATTCTCACCTGCTCTTGTGGCAAAATATTTGGATGACCTGTTTCTGGGGCCATGGTTTGCTGCTGCAAGCAGAGAAAGAAAACCACAGAGGAGAGTGGGTCTGAATCGGCTTACAGGGCATTTGAAAGCAAAACCCCAGGAGATGTGTTCATCCCAAGAGAGGGTTGATAGCTCAGCCAGCAATGATTTGACTTGGTGCTCAAAGTGTTAGGCAGAAGTCTGGTGCTTCATATGTTATGCAGTCTGATACATCAGATGCTTGTGACTCCCTCTTCACACAGAATATCTACAGCTATAGGTACTCCAGAGAGACAAAAAGAAGCCATACACAATGTAGAAAAATGCTTCTTGGGAGATCCCACCCCGCTACCCTTGCATAGTAGCATCCCTGCATAAATTTTCAGCAAGAGATTATCTGGATTAGAACTACGAAAGGTGATTCCTCTGTTAGGATGCATGTTGCAGCTGCCTTTTCCGTGTCTCAAGTAGGGAGCCTAATCACCTTGCTCTCTTCGATGGAGACACTTCAAAGATCCAAGATATTCATGCACCGACTGCAGCACGCTCTCTGTGATGTCTTCTAAGGCTCAGCCTGTTGTACAAGGGCAGGTCACACTGGGACTTAAGAGCTCATCACGGCACTCATAGTTTTAGCTGCTTTCAAACAGAATTTGATATGGAGCCACCAAATTGGCAGGCACAGAGAGAAAGAGAGCTTCTCTCCCCCAGGGCAGTGTTGAAAAGGGAATAAATAACAAGACAACAGCTTCTGTTGAGAAAGACAGGATTCCTAGGTGTGGGGATTCTCATCCTTAGCGAAGATTACAGTCACATAGAAATGGCCACCAGAAATATCATGTGACTTAGCCAGGTGGGCAGGTGACCCAGACCCTCCAAGTGTCCCTGTTTTCCAGGGATGGTCCTGGATTTACAGAAGCCATCCCAGTTTCTGATTTGATCCCAGGTTGTCCCGCTTTTCCTTAGGACGTCCCTATTTTCATTGGAGAAATGTTGGAGGGTATGGATCTATGTGACCCCTGAGCCGAGGAGATAAGTAACTATACAACCTTTAGAAGACATCTGAAGGCAGCTCTATCTAGGGAAGTTTAAAACACTTGTTTTAAACAATGTTTTATTATGTTTTTATATATGTTGGAAGGCGCCCAGAGTGGCTGGGGTAACCCAGTCAGATGGGTGGGGTACAAATAATAAAATGGTATTGTTGTTATAGACTAGGACGTCCGTATTTTCATTGGAGAAATGTTGGGTATGTTATTTGAAGGCAGCCCTGTATAGGGAAGTTTTTTTTAAAATGTTTAATGTTTTATTATGTTTTATATATGTTGGAAGCAACCCAGTCAGATGGGTGGGATAGTGGTGGTGGTGGTGATAATAGAATAGGATGTTCCTATTTTCATCAGAGAGGTATTGGAGGCTATGGTGACCTACTAGTGGCCAGATGATAGTCATCTTCAAATATCTCAAGGGCTGTCACATGGAAGAGGGAACAAACTTGTTTTCTCCTGCTCTGAAGGGTAGGACTTGAACCGATGGCTTCAAGTTACAAGAAGGGAGATTCTGACTAAACATCAGAAAGAATTTTCTGACAGGAAGAGCTGTTTGACTGTGAAATGGTTTCTGTCGGGAGATTGTTGACTCTCCTTCCTTGAAGGCTTCTAAGCAGAGGTTGGATGGCCACCTGTCATGGATGTTTTAGCTAAGATTCCTGCATTGCAGGGGGTTGGACTAGATGACCCTTGGGGTCCCTTCCATCTCTACAATTTTATGATTCTATCTTCCTATGTTCTAATATTCCAGATGCACCAAAGTTCTCCTGCATCCAGAAGATGGCAGTATTGTCCTGCAGGACAAGGCGCTCAGAGCTTCTCGGTAGTCTGTGAAACTGCCTATGCCAATGACCGCCTGTATATACATCCGGTGGTTTTCAAGAGTCTGAGCGGAATCTGATTTTCAGAGCAGTTTTTATGATGATATCATTATTTCTTTACAGCTACAAATTAACTGTCTGCTTCAATATGCCCTGTGTTCTTCATGCCTTGAGGGATCTCCTTGTCAGTTATGCGAGCTTCCCATTTTATGAGTCTGACATGGTACCAATGAGAATCAAGAACGATTCCATAAAGACATACCATTAGAGACGACAAGCCGGCGTGATACCTTTGGGCAGGAAACCCAGCGCGCGCTGCTTTTGCCATTGATTCCCGGCAATTATATTACAGTTGCCTCTATGAACAAACACCCAGCCACGCTTGGCAAAATAACTTTAGTTATTATGACAGCGTCGTTCGCCTCTGTCGCTGGTATTGTTTTGCTTTAGCTGTTAGATACCTAATGCGGAATGAAGGGGGGGAAAAGGAGGGGAATGTGCTGGTTGGAGGAGGATAATCTCGTTGATATGAACAGGCTACAAATGATTCTCGTTTTCAAGATGGCATGAGCGGCAGCTGGGACCTGCAGGAACAGATGGACACAGTGCTTCTGCAGTCTTTGAGCCCTATCTGTGGTCCACGTGCGTGACCCTCATTTGATGACTGATGCACCAAGGTAAATGGACCACCAACCCACTGGTTGAACCTTCATTTTAGCCTCCTATCACCCGCTGCCAGTCACCAGGAGAGATCCAGATAGACTTGCCTCATATAGGCATCGGGTGGTGGCATGGGTGAATGAAGCACCTAACACCCAGGGCAGAGCGTTCCAGTTACCCAGTGCCACTCACCTTGCCATGCATCTTTGGATATTGAGTAGCCTTGCTGAGTCACCAAGCAACGTTCAAGCATGTATGAATGGGCCTAAAGACCGGTGGGATCAGGGTGAACTGCACAGCCTACATGCCAGACTTTCCACTGCAGATTACATGCACTGACAGGAAGGGACAAAGTGCTCTGGGTGATGCTCAAGAATGATGCTGAAGGCGGAGGGTTGTTGTTGTTGTTGTTGTTTTGTCGTTTAGTCGTGTCCGACTCTTCGTGACCCCATGGACCAGAGCATGCCAGACACTCCTGCCTTCCACTGCCTCCCGCAGTTTGGTCAGACTCATGCTGGTAGCTTCAAGAACACTGTCCAACCATCTCATCCTCTGCCGTCCCCTTCTCCTTGTGCCCTCAATCTTTCCCAGCATCAGGGTCTTTTCCAGGGAGTCTTCTCTTCTCATGAGGTGGCCAAAGTATTGGAGCCTCAGCTTCACGATCTGTCCTTCCAGTGAGCACTCAGGGCTGATTTCCTTCAGAATGGAGAGGTTTGATCTTCTTGCAGTCCATGGGACTCTCAAGAGTCTCCTCCAGCACCAGAATTCAAAAGCATCAGTTCTTCAGCAATCAGCCTTCTTGATGATCCAGCTCTCACTTCCATACATCACTACTGGGAAAACCATAGCTTTAACTATTACGGACCTTTGTTGGCAAGGTGATGTCTCTGCTTTTTAAGATGCTGTCTAGGTTTGTCATTGCTTTTCTCTCAAGAAGCAGGCGTCTTTGTACTTTGCACTAACTCTCATTTTTGCGTGTGTCGGTGCAACTCAAATCGGCAATGAGAGAAGATGGATCCTATTATTTTATCCAATGTTTTTGTGTGTGCGGCTATGTTATTTTTATTTTGAAAAATACTTCTTTCCATTAGAAAGCCAGTACAACAACCAGCTCACATCTGCATGGGTGCCAATTTGAATAAAATATTGGGGGGGGGGACAGGAAAGCCCCACCCTGCATAATCAATCGCACGATGCAGCGCGCACAATGGGACGCGGGTGGCACTTTGGTCTAAACCACAGAGCCTAGGGCTTGCTGATCGGAAGGTCGGCGGTTCGAATCCCCGCGATGGGGTTAGCTCCCGTTGCTCGGTCCCTTCTCCTGCCAACCTAGCAGTTCGAAAGCACGTCAAAGTGCAAGTAGATAAATAGGTACCCCTCCAGTGGGAAGGTAAATGGCGTTTCCGTGCACTGCTCTGGTTCGCTAGAAGCGGCTTAGTCATGCTGGTCACATGACCCGGAAGCTGTACACCAGCTCCCTCGGCCAATAAAGCGAGATGAGCACCGCAACCCCAGAGTCAGCCACGACTGGACCTAATGGTCAGGGGCACCTTTACCTATCAACTGTAGGGCCCCCCAGCCCCCTCAAATATTTTATTTTTTGGGGGGAGGGGGCAAATGGACCTCGGCCCCTGGGAGTTGGCTCCTATGCACAGCTGCTACACTTATTTTATGTTTGCAGGAAGCTTGGCACATGGGCAAGCTATTTAAAACCAACCCCACCCCTGCAGTTGAATTTGTATGGTCTATTCTGCCCTCATTTTACTGCACATGTTGAGCAGACCTGCTTTTTCTTCACCTTTTCTTTTGCAGATGAGGCCTTCAGGGACTTTCTTGCCACCTTACCCTGAGGAAGACACAGATGAGGATGTGATACTAGGAATAAGGGCTCTTCGTAAGCCCTTCCAGTCTGAGAATGTGGCCCTTTTTGCCTCCCTCAGACTCAGAAGCCAAGACCCATGCAACATGCCCCCCACCTCTCAGACAACTGTCAGTTGTGGAAAATTGACAATGGTCTTTTAAGGAAGCATAGCTAGCTCCTCCAAGGCTAATTTCAGCAGTGTAGGCTTAGCCAGCCTTCTTAAGGTTTCAGATGGCTTCTCCATTGGGAGCTTTCCATGGTCCTGATTTAAGTAGGCCCCACCCATCTCTTCTTTAAAGAGAGGTTACTTACAGCAACATCATTGGTTGTTTTTTTTTAAAAAGTATGTTTTTATTGATTTTTCAGGTAACACCACTATGGAAGGAAGGATACAGGAGGAACACAGGTACCCATCTGAAAAAATATATTAAAAAAATAAAAAATTGTCCAGTCGCACCTTAGAAACCAACTAAGCTTGTTCTTGGTATAAGCTTTCGTGTGCATGCACACTTCTTCAGATATCTGAAGAAGTATCTGAAGAAGTGTGCATGCACATGAAAGCTTATACCAAGAACAAACTTAGTTGGTCTCTAAGGTATCTAAGGTATATTATTTTATATATTTTGACTGTATCAGACCAACACGGTTAACTTCCTGAATCTGCAATCCAAAAACAGCTCAACAAACCACCATGCCAAAATATTATTGACCATGGGTACCAAGAGCATGGGATAGACTTCTCACCCTTACTTAACTGTGAGCTTTTGGTGCAGGTTTTAGCATTTTGAAAATGCAGTATTGAAAACTGCACATTGATGGTGCTAATAGATGCCCCTTCCAACTCTACAATTCTATGATTCCAAGAAAAAATAATAATAGTTGTGTAGGGAAGAAATTCCACCACTTAGGGGCTGCCATTTCAACGATTTTAGTGAGTGACTGAGGCTGTGTGATGGGAAAGAAAACGTGCCTCTAGCATAAACAACACCTCCAAGACTAACCTTCAAGGTGCACAAGACTCCTTTGTTGTTCCTGCTACAACAGAGTAACAAGGCTATCCCTCTCCAAACTGCATATTGGTTACCAGACTGAGCTGCGAACCAGGAGGTTAGATTGGTCTCAACTAGGGCCAGGGCCTGGTGGAACACTCTGTCACAAGAGACCAGGGCCCTGTGGGATTTGACATCTTTCATCAGGGCCTGCAAGATGGAGCTGTTCCGCCTGGCCTTCGGCTTAGACTCACTCTGACCCCTTTTATGGGATTTGGCATATAAATTTTCCCTTGGCTTTTTTGCTGGCCCATGTAGGACCAGCATGGATAGCTGGTTTGGGTGAATATCTGATGCTTCCTCCCTTTATGGTTTTGATTTATGGGCTGCTACTAAAATGAGGCTGCATTTTAAGCTGTATTTTAAGCCGTATTTTAATTAACTGCTTCCCCCCTTATTATGTTTTATTGTAATTTATATTCGGTGTAAGCCGCCCTGAGTCCAGCCCTGGCCGGGGAGAGTGGGGTATAAATAAAATTTATTATTATTAAACCTGAGTATGGCCTGTAACTTCCCTCTTATAAGTGCAGAAATTGTGATTTAAGAGATCTTATTTTAGGGGTGCGGCCTATATTTGGGGGCTGCTTATATTTGGACCAATATGGTATTTGTCCTGGCAGTTAGAAGAGGCTTTTGAATGCCCAATGTTGTGGGCACAGAGGGTGTGCATGGAAATATTGTATTTATACCTTGTTTATGAGCCTCCCGGGGCACCAGTCTAGCCTCTGAGACAGGAGAGTAGGCTAGAGCCACCCTTGATTTCATCTAGAAAGGTTCCTCTCATATTCTTTTCCTGCAGCCTGAGTCCTCTGCCTCCAACATAGGGATAACAATACATGTCTAGCTTATTGGAGTGTTTGTAAGGATTGCCATGAAACATTTGGGAACTCTTACCTGATGAATTGAAGCTCAGCTCACCTAAATCTCTCTTTGGATTTTCCAGGCATTCAATAAGATCTGATTCAGCAGGTAAGATTGGATTTTGGCAAGCTATAGCTGTGGAACAACAAGAAAAGGTCTCAGACGCATGGGAAGTAATCATTACACAATATAGTCAAAATATGGTTCAAGTGAAAGTACGATGAGCCTGTGAACTGTCCAAACCTGTATATAAATGCTAAATATTTCTCTCTCTCTCTCAATTCTGAATGGCCAAACAGCAATACTGCAAAAGGCTCCTCCACTGAGCTGTGCATTTGCTGTTATCCTCGCAGCAACACAACCCGAAATGATCAGTAGAAACACAACAAGCCCCTTCATGCTCATTTGTGCTCAGTATTCATGTCATTATTAAAAGGTGCAGCGAGGGCAAGTTTCAAACCATGAAAATGATGAGCCTGGAGCAGAAACTACTGAGCGCAGAGAACATTCCCACTATATTTCCATTTTTCCTTCTGCAGGCATCTCCTTGCGACTCGTTTGTAGCTCACCTGAGCCTGACATTTGCCAAGGAAGATGCAGCGTCTGTTTATAGCACCTGGAGTGGGAAGTTTGCATTCCGCAATCAGGCCCGCTGCTTGATGGCTATTCTTAAAGCGGTTATTCTTCACTCTGTCTGTATGTGTGAGGAATGCACAACTATATGCCCAAAGTCTCAAGAGATGTCAAGAGTACCTCGGTGGAAAAATGTTTTCGAATAGCTTCCCTTGTACAGAACGTTTGTGTGTGTATTCATTTGAGAAAAAAATTATACTGCAATGGCATAAAAAGCAATAAAACATAAAATAATAAACCAAAAAACCAAAACAAAAAATAGGTATCAATTTGTCAGTTTGCATTTCTTAGTGCAGAAAGTATTGATCTGATGTGTAGAGATCTTTCCTATTCTACTTAATTCAAGAGGGTTGTGGAAGCTTCAGGAAGCTTCTCTGTGTGAAAGAAACAAGCAGAAGGTTCATGATATTTGGGTTATTCCTTCAGAGAAGCTGAGTACAGCTGGCTTAAACTGGTTCTGCTATCTCTTTCTGTCAAGGTCGTGCTGACTATAAGTTTCTCTTTCTATCTCTTTTCCTTCTGGTGTGGTGTTCTGTATATAGTATGCTATATTGTTAAGGTTTAGACTTATTATAAGTTATTGTAAGTTTAAGTTAAGTCTGCTACAACTGGATTTCTCATGGACAGTGCCAATCCTGAATGTATTGGATTTGTGACCATTATGTTCATTTGCCTTCAGTAGCAGTAAAGGTCTGCTTGATGAAATACAAATGTGTTATTAATTTCCTGCATAGACCTGGTGGAATAGAAAGGTTGTCAACAGGTGTTTAAAAGTTGGCGCAGAAAGCACCCACTGAATCTCTATTGGCAGAGCATCCCTCAGATGGGACCATTAGCATGAAAGACTTGGCTTCTCGCTGTTGTCCAATGAGTCTAACCAACTTGGGGAACGATCAGCGATGCTCCTGTGGATGATCTCAGTGGTCAAGTTGGGATAGAAGGATTCAGGCAACCCGAACTCCAGATATAGTTGAAATACAGTTCCCATAATCTAGAGTTGCCATATTTTAAAAAGTGACAATCTGGACACAATCTGGAGCTCTTTTTGGGGGGCGGGGGGAACAAAGTTGCTGAGCTTTGGCTGACCTTAACATCTTAAAAATGAGAGTTTTTGAGCTACAGTGGTACCTTGGTTCTCAAGAGTGCCCAGCTAGGTGGTCACAGTCAACCACTAACCATGGTTGACAGTGACATGCAGATTTTTTAAGTGGAAGAGGTGGAACAGTGGTCTCCCAAGTGCTTATGAGGCAGTACAGTAGTACTTTGGTTCTCAAACTTAATCCGTTCCAGAATTCAGTTCCAAAACTAAAGCGTTCCAAAACCGAGGCATGCTTTTCCATAGAAAGTAATGTAAAACGGATTAATCTGTTCCAGACTTTTAAAAACAACCTCTAAAACAGCAATTCAACATGAATTTTACTATCTAACGAGCTCATAGATCCATAAAATGAAAGCAATAAACAATGTGCTGTACTATAAAATCAGTAAGACGGTATTGTAGATGATAAAAATAAAAATTATTATTTTTTCCTTACCTGCACTGATGATAGTCATTGTTTGGCTGGGGGGCTTTTATCCATTTCTGCAGTCACACAATCAATCAATCAATCAATCAATAGCTGAACTGGGTTCCACACAGTCACAAAAACAAATTAACCGAAAAAGCCTCAGACAAAAACGCAAAATAAATAGCAAAAACAAAAGCACCAAACTTAATCCGTTCCGGAAGTCTGTTTGGCTTCCGAAATGTTCAAAAACCAAGGCACAGCTTCTGATTGGTGCAGGCGCCCTGGAAACAGTAGCTGACAGCCACATTGGACGTTCAGCTTCTGAAAAACGTTCGAAATCCAGAACACTTACTTCCGGGTTTTCGGTGTTTGAGAACCAAGGAGTTTGAGAAACAAGGTACCACTGTATTTTAAATGAAATTGGCCAAAATCTGCACTTCTGAAATGGGCTACCATACATCTGGATTTTCCCCAGTCTTTTCCTACAATCCCTAACGAAAATGCTTCAGGTTTCTTAACAAATGTTAGATGGAACATTTTCTTCAATTCATTGTATATCATTTCCTAAAACTTTTTAATTTCATTATAATCCCACCCCATATGGTAAAATGTCTCCTCCTTTCCCTTACCTGCGCGCCTTTCCGCTGCTCCCCGACCTGCTCTTTGGGGCTGGCGGTGGGCTTCCACCCGCCAGCTCCAAAGAGCAGGTCGAAAGGAACCCGAAGCCTCCACAGCGTGCTCCGGAGGCTTCGGGTTGCCTTCACTGAAGCCTGGAGAGCGAGAGGGGTCGGTGCGTACCTGAACCTTGAATGGCACCTTGTTTTAGAGGGGGAGAACAAGGGGAAAAAATTTCTCCCCCTCTCTGCGCAGCACCTCCTGCCACTTTGCTGAAGGGGCACTGAGCAAAGAGGGGGAGAATTTTTTTTTCCTTGTTCTCCCCCTCTAAAGCAAGGTGTGTCCTATGGTCAGGTGCGTCCTATAGAACGAAAAATACGGTACATGTTTTTCCAAGTGGTGCAGATGGTTAATCTGAACGAATCTTATGCTTATGGAGAAAGATGATTACATAGGCAAGCTTCATATCTTGCTTGGTGCATGCTGACATGAAGCCGTTTTCCCCAAATCATTATTTTTCGCACATGCTAATCCAGATCTTGAGAAACACATGTTGAAACCAGGGCTGCCGCTGTATAATAAAGGCCCGCTGAGCACCTGAGCTCTTGAGCCCCGATGTGTTCAGGCCCTGACATGTTTGCAAGGGGGGGAAGCGATTTTCATAGCTTGATAGGCTTTGCTTATTGCTGTTGAGATGTCTGGCCGCTGGCTGATTCCTTAATGACAGGCTGGCTTGCGATTTCCCCCAAGCGATAGGAATCGCTGGCAGGTCTTGCCCACGTATTGTTTCTTGCATTGGCAAGGGAGTGACATACTGTATTTTTCTGTGTATAAGACTATATTTTCCTCAAATTTTACAGTTTAAAATAAGGGGTCATCTTATACACGGAGAATGCATAGTGCATTTTCTTAATTTTGAGTCTCCCAAAATAGTCTTATACACATGGGTGTGTTATACACACAAAAATACGGTAAGCCTCGAATGGCGGCGGTTTTGCCTGGACTTGCGGGGATGAACAGGCAGGCAAGGGAGGTGGCTTGTGGAAATTTTAAAATCTCTGCAACACTTTTTCTTAAAATATTTATACTTTTCTCATATTTACATTTCACTGATTTTACAATCATTATGACATTTTAAAACTTAGTTTGCCTACCCATGCAATACAACATTAAAAACAGAACAAAACATCAAACATTAAAAACTTCCCTAAACAGGGCTGCCTTCACATGTCTTCTAAAAGTCAGATGGTTGTTTATTTCCTTGACATCTGGTGGGAGGGTGTTCCACAGGGCAGGCGCCACTACCGAGAAGGCCCTCTGCCTGGTTCCCTGTAATTTCGCTTCTTGCAGTGAGGGAACCACCAGAAGGCCCTCGGAGCTGGACCTCAGTGTCTGGGCAGAATGATGGGGGTGGAGATGCTCCTTCAGGTATACTGGGCTGAGGCCGTAGGCCATGGGTAGGCAAACTAAGGCCCAGGGGCCAGATCTGGCCCAATCGCCTAATAAAACCAGCCTGCGGATGGTCTGGGAATCAGCGTGTTTTTACATGAGAAGAATGTGTGCTTTTATTTAAAATGCATCTTTGGGTTATTTGTGAGGGCTGCCTGGTGTTTTTACATGAGTAGAACGTGTGCTTTTATTTAAAATGCACCTCTGGGTTATTTGTGGAGCATAGGAATTCATTCATTTTTCGCCTTCCAAAATATAGTCTGCCCCCCACAAGGTCTGAGGGACAGTGGACCGGCCCCATGCTGAAAAAAATTGCTGACCTCTGCTGTAGGCCCTTCTCTGTGAAAAAAATGCCTGTGGATGCCCTTATGAGCTGGGTGTGTTCGCTCAAAGCTTTTTATGCAGTAGAATTCATTATCTTGAATCCCTACCCATGTGATGAGTGGATTGGGATCCAGGTTAGTGTGTAGTATTCAGCTTCCATTTCTTCTCCGTTGAGACCTGATTTTGTAGACGTCACATTTAGAAGGGTTTGCTAACGTCTGGTTCACACAGTCAACTTGGGGGGCCTGTTGCAAGAGGACAAATAATCACAAGCTCACCCTGTTTGTGGGATGGAGCCACACCTGCTGCTTTCCAAATTTCTTCGCACTTCGACCACACAGGGAGCCAAAATGTGCATGCCGTAGAGTTCACAGAAACTGACAGGCAAGCACAAGCACACTTTGTGAAAGCAGAAAGAGACGGGCACTTTTTCTCGATCCTTTCTATTCACATAAGTTTATACGGAAACAATATGGCCCAGGGCGTTTATTAAGTGGGGCTTGGATTTGTGCTCCTGTTCCTACACAGCCAGGAACTTGATATGTGGCCAAACCTAACATTTCCCACATCAGTTTGCTGTCCGTAAGGGAGATACATTAGCAGGAAAAAACTGAATAATATCATAATTTTAGAATATCTAACTGTGAAGATACACAGAATGAAAGGGTTTAAGGTCAGTGAAAAAGAGGAGGATCGCTTTGAGAAGATATTGAATTATTTGGGGCAATTAAAATGTTAAAAGTTAAATAAACCTTGTGGTTGGAGGAGTGTCAATGTATATAAAATTGTACATACAGTGGTGCCTCGCAAGACGAAATTAATCCGTTCCGCGAGTATCTTCGTCTAGCGGTTTTTTCGTCTTGCGAAACAACCCTATTAGTGGCTTAGTGGATTAGCGCTATTAGCGGTTTAGCGGCTATTAAAGGCTTAGCGGCTTAGCGGCTTAGCTGCTAAAAGGCTATTAAAGGCTTAGCGGCTTAGAAAAAAGGGGGGGGGAGCGGAAAAAAAATCTCAAGACTCGCAAGACAGTTTCGTCTGGCGAAGCAAGCCCATAGGGAAATTCGTCCTGCGAAGCGCATTGAAAACGGAAAACCCCTTCGTCTAGCGGGTTTTCTGTCTTGCGAGGCATTCGTCTTACGGGGCACCACTGTATTTTGAGTATTTGAATATGTTATTATTGATTATGTATACCCAGCTGCCTGGGGGGTTTCACTGTTGGTGTTTTGGTTGTTGTTAAAAAATAAAATTTTTAAACATGAAACATTAGCAGCTGTGATGGAGAAAGAATTTTTTGAGAAAGAATGGACACTGTGGCTTATAAAAAATGATGCCGGACGCCCCTCCCGGCAGATTAAAAGTGTTGTAAGAATTCAACAACCTAAGGCACTTGAAATTTAATATTTTTGCTGCCTAAACTGTTGTATTATAACCCCATGTGTTTGTGAACATCTTGACCCTTCACTAGCCCTTTAATAAGAGACAGTTTTCTTTATTGTAAGTATTCATTTAAGCATTATTTTTTAAATTTTGGCAAATTTATTAAAGGAATAAAAAGAAGAGAGAAAAGGCGGGGAAAACCAGGCCAAAATTGTCATCTTATATTCACAGTACGATAAACATCAATA